AAAAATCCATAATGTAAAAAAGTTTTTATGTTAATTGAATGTGGTTCCAAAAAATGAATAGAAAAGTGGTAAAAGAATACATTCATCCCTTGGTATCTTTGGGGGATGGTTCCAGGACCCCCGAGGATGCCAAAATTTGAAGATGCTCCAGTCCCTTATGTAAAATGGTATAATGTTTTCATTTAATCTGTGTACATCCTCCCATATACTTTAAATCACCTCTAGGTTACTTACAATGCCAAATATAATATAAGTGTTATGTAAATAGTTGCCTGTGTATGGCAAATTGGAATTTTGCTTTTAGGAACTTTCTGGAATTTCTTTTCCTGAATATTTTCAGTCCGCGGTTGGTTGAATCTGCAGATGCAGAACCTGTGAATGTAGAGGGCTGGTTTTGCTGAAACGACGGGGACTCACGTATATGTTTTGTCCTGCCTTTCTATGAAATGCCAATAACATCAAAGCATAAGAATAGAAAAAAGCAGTTGTTGGGGGGTCATGTTGAGAATTAAGCTGAACGGAGTTACCAGTGCAATGTGATTTTGTTACAGCATAAGCTACAGTCTTATATAATACATAGAATCATGAATTAGTTTTTTAATGTAGTTTTTCAAATAGTAAGACCTTCTAATAGGTGTGTATCAGAGATACAGAATGTTGGTCTGTAATGAAAAGGCTGCATGGGCGAGCAGAGACAGCCAGGAAAGAACTGAAGCTTTTGAAAATACTTAACAGTGACAGAGAATCTTTGTGCTCTGTTCCAAGGACCAGGTGGACCCGTACTGCAGGGCTAAGATACAGGTAGAAAGCGGTTCTCTGCTTCGACTTTGTTTCCTTTTTTTTTGTCACTGAGCAGATGTTCTCTTAAACTGAAATAAACTGTAAAGCAGACACAAAAAGCAGTAATGCACAAAATAGGTCAAAGTAACAGTGCCTTGGTTACATTTCCAGCTTCAGAGTAAAATGTGTATCCCTAGGCACTACAATAACTTGCGAGATGAGCACAGGAATATTATGTTTTTAAAGTGTTTTAGAAAATAAGAGGAACCGAAGGCAGCTGCCGTTAAGTGATAATGTTTAGGTGTCTGAAAAGAGGCCAGTACCTTGATGCTTCATTAAAATTCCTGGATATCTGTCTGGTTTGTGAACAATTAGACAAATAACTTTAACTCACTAAAAGCTAATTTACTATGTGTAAGTCATAACAAACTAACTTTGTTTCTATAATAAGCAAAAACTGCCGTAAGGGCAGTTTTACAAGTTATTTGGTGGCCTCTCATGATACCTTTCTTGTCGAGGAGGAGAAATAGAGACGAAAGTAGTACGCTTACGTGGTTTCGTAGGTGATGGATGATATCAAGAGGGCTGGTCATGTTGAAGTAAAGAGATGTCAGAGGTCTTTGGCTCCTAAGCCTGTGCTTCAAGTGTATCATTTTTTTTTAATGTTCATATACAAGGTGTGTTTAAGAATTTTATATATGAAATATTTCGGAGATGTTGCTAATATGTTGGTGTGAATCAAGATTTCAAAATACTTAAACAACCCATTCAGAATAAGAAACTAAAGTAATTATTTCACAGAAATAAATCTATAATCTCACCTTTACGTTTAAAATTTAAAGACATGTCTTAGTGATGTTTAATGTAACAAAACCTAGAAATTGACAGCAATAATAATATGACCTTCTTCCCCCCCAAAAAAACCATTCCTAAGTACAGTTTCTAGAAGTACAGTCAGTTCGGCTCTAAGTAGCTTGCAGAAAATCTGTAGTGTTGTGTCTCGTTTACCAAAACTCACATGGTAAATGTAGCCATTTTCAAGTATTTGAGAGGTGATCTTACGGAAAAGTGATTAACCTCTTTTGATACTGCTTCAGAGAGCAGGATGTGTTTGAGAGCCAAAGGTACAAAATCTCACTCACTGGATTTTGACAAATGGAACAGTTTCTTTTCAAAGTAATGAGCCTCCTGGTGCTAGAAAGTGACATCTGTTGCTAAATGTTTTGGTTATAGTTTTCCAATATAAACTCAGGGAGTCTGTGAAACTCTTAAGGGTTCCAGGTCTGTGTTCCAGCAGGAGATCCTGAGTTACCAGTATAGTCCTCTTCCGCCGCCAGCAGTGCCATTCCACAGGATATAAAGAGCTTTGGATTTGATGTCAGGAACTGAATTCGAATCCCGTTTTGCTAACTTTGTGACTCTGGGTGCTTAAGAACTGGGTTTCTTTTTTCTCTGAGGCGATCACATAAGGCTGGACCATCTCACGTCTCTCTCGGCTTCTTACGTGAACTTTACTGAGGCATAATTTACATGCAGTGCAAGTCATCAGATTAAAATACCGGGTTTGATGTGTTCTGACATTTGTTGTATAACCATCACCATCACAATCAAATTGCAGAGTATTTCCATCACCGCCACATTTCCCTCATGTCCCTTTGCAGTTCACCTCTCCACTCCCAGCAACCTTTCTGGTTCCTATAACTATAGTTTTGCCTTTTCTAGAATTTCACATAAATGGAATTGTAAGGTATGAGGCTTTTTTGTCTGGATTCTTTGATTTAGCATATTCACTCACTCTTTGTTTCTTGTTAGCAGTTTTTTTATTGTGGCAGAGCAGACACAATGTAACGGTGTGCCAGCGCAGCTCAGTGGCACTGAGTATGTTTATGATGTGCAACAGTAGCCACTGTGTTTCTAGAACTTTCTCATCATCCCAAACAGAAGTTTTGTACTCGTTAAAAAGAACCCCACCTCCTTCCCCTTCCCCCACTTCTCCCCTGGTAGCCGCTGTTCTGCTTCGTGTCTGAGTTTTCAGCTGGGTGACTCACGTAGGCAGAGGCATACAGCGTTTGTCCTCTTGTGTCTGGCGTGTCTCACTCAGCATCATGCTTTCAAGGCTCATCCTTGTTGCAGCACCGCATTCACGGCAGGAGCCCCTTAGTTTTTGTTGTGGTGAATAGCAGTCCACTGTTGTGCGTGTGTGTGTCCATGTACACGTACATTGCTTATCCGTCCGTCTGTCTGGAGTTGTTTCGGTTGTCCTCATAACATGAGGCTGTCATGAACATAATGCTGCTGTGGTCGCTACAAATGTCTGTTTGAGTCCCTGCTTCATTGTTGTTGATTTAAAAATGTTATTCCAATTTTGCCTCAACAAATTGTTTAAAGCAAGAGCACAGAAGTGAAAGTAGAAGGCTGAAGGAAGCGATGTGTTTAGTGTGAGTGGTTGTGTGGAGGGTGAAGATGAGGGAGAACATACAGCGCCCCAGTGCTGGAGCCCACGGCTGGGGGGGCCAGAAGCTCGTGAGCTGTGCGGAGAGCCTGCGAGGCCTGCAGGCCCTCGGGGCTGGCTGGGCACGGCTTAGTCCGAGTTGTGGGTGCGTGGAGGCCAAAGGGAGAATGCAGTGTGGGGTAAAGCAGCACGGGTCACGGCTGTCAGAGGAATGGCAGGGGCCACACACACACACACACACACACACACACACACACACACGAGTAATTAAGAAGTAAATAAAGAACTAAGTTAATTTTACGTTAACTACGGTAGGGTTAGGTTAGGTTACGGTAACCGTTACGTAGGAAGGAAGGACG